TATTTTAAGATGGGGTTTCACCATGATGGCCAGGCTGGTCTTGAACTCCTGACCTCAGGTGATCCACCCACCTCGGCCTCCCAAAGTGCTAGGATTACAGACGTGAGCCACCACGCCCAGCAGTCTCGATCTCTTGACCTCATGATCCACCTGTCTCAGCCTCCTAAAGTGCTGGAATTACAGGCGTGAGCCACTGTGCCCATCCCGCTTACCTCTTTTCTAAATTTTGCTGGTCTTGCCTTGCAAAAGGCTTTCAAGTCTACAGTGGCATCTTTTATCAAGTACATTGTGTTGTGCTGGTGGCCAAAGAAATAAGACTTTTTAAAGATTGACTCTGTTTTTAAATTTTGAAACACTAAAAAAAATAATTAGGTTGAATCATATAAAATTTGCATTTTTATAGATCAAAATCATTAGATACCGGCAGTTTCATATGGCTCACTAAATAAAATTAAATAAGACCTTTAATTCATAGTCTACGTTTCCTAATTAATGACTGTTAACATTTTGGGCCAGATGCAGTGAGACCCTGCCTAAAAAAAAAGAAAAAGAAAAAAATGGTTACAGATGCTTCCACTCACCTTATTTATTATGTTGTATTGTATTTTATTTTATTGATTGATTGGTTGAAACAGGGTCTCACTTTGTCACCCAAGCTGGAGTACAATGGCACAATCATAGCTCATGACAGCCTTGAGCTCCCAGGCTCAGACAATCCTCCCTCCTCAGCCTCCCCAGTATCTGGGATAACAGGCACATGCCACCACATCCAGTTAATCTTTGTATTTTTTGTAGAGATGGGGTTTTGCCATATTGCCCAGGCTGGCTCCTGGGCTTAAGCAATTCACCCTCCTCAACCTCCCAAAGTCTGTTATAGGCATGAACCACTGCATCTTGCCTTCCACTCACTCTTTAAATGAAATAAGCCATTACAGATCAAGTTAAAGCCCCTTTTAAAACCACTCCAGACCCCTGACTCTGTCCCCAGAGACAATGTTATCTGAATTTTATGAGTAGTAGTCTTCTCCTTTCACAGATGGATACCAAGATGTAAATCTATTTTCATTCATGTTTTTCCTACTCATTAATGTTACTTTAAACCTGATTGTCCTCTCCTGTAATGGAGGAAAGGGACAGTCTTCAACTGGCTTTCTCATGTAAAATCGCTCTTAGAATTTTACCCTGTTTCTCTTTTTCTTTTTCTTTTTTTTTTTTTCTAAAAATTTATAAAGTATCTTAAGAAAACCTAAAGCTCTCTTTAAATTCTCTGTTTGAGGAGTTCTCTACATATCTCATAGAAGACACCCACCTTTTAACTCCACAATATAAGGAAGGCAATTCAAGCCCATATAACCCCAAAAAAACTAAAATCTCATTTTTTCTTCTATCTTCAACCTCCTCTTAATCTCAACTTTCACATCCACCGAGGAAAAAATGTATTCTTTCTAGATGCATCTTATTCTTCTTTTGTCAGTAAGCCTCTGGTATGATGTCAGTAAAATAGTGACATGACCAAATATTGAAAGAGTGAAATAACCTATGAATAGGCACCAGCCTGCATAGTAAGATAATATGGTCCAAATCAGAAAGGGAAAAAATGTTCCTTCCTTCAGTTCCAACCAAAGCAGCCATGAAAATGAAGACAGACAAATAAGACTTCCAATGTTTAAGAAAAAAAGTAGGAAGAAATATTGCACTTGGCAAATTTCTCTGTTTGATCCTAATGGGATCAGAACTCCTTGACAAACTCCTTTTCATGATAGTCACTTATTTAAAGTAACATTGCATCAACTTCTCCACACTACATAATTAGAAATGCTTTACCCATTCCTCAATTAATATCAAAGCTATAATATATACAAGATTTTTAAAGCTTCTTTGTTTGAATCTTGAATTAATTTATGTACTCATATTTTGGATCCCAACTGAAGCTAATCTCTATAATACTATAATGGGGTAGTAAAATTCATTTTTGTAACTGTGACATATTTGAATGTTGAATAATGGTATTCCAGTATGTCTTTTCTCTTTGTTAGTTTGCTTTATTCTTACTACATTTGTATTGCAGCCTTCCTTGCCTCGCATTAATAAGTGTGCTACAATGATGTTATAATCATTTTTAGCAAAGAGAGATTCTGCATTGAAACGTTTTTATGACTTCTCAATATGGCAAGTTTAGGCATTAAAGTAAATCTCTCTGTCACAATTAATGTTTAATCTGGATTTTTATAATACTAACAGACATACGTTAGACTGTATTTATTTAAATAAATGCCATTCTCGCCAGGGGTTCACAGTCACAGTGGTACAACTCACTACACTGATGGTTCAAAGCCTTTTCTGTTTTGTTATTCTTCTAACTTCCTTGAATAAAATATTCTTTCTTTCTTCAGCAGTTGATGAAGTTTAGAATGCCCAAAGAAGGACTAGTGATTCAAAATGCACTGACAATCTGGAAACCTTAGCTAAATTGATCCATAAGGGCATAGCCTTCCTTAGACAAGGTCATCTAGTTTAGTAACTATTCTCCCGATCTCTCTACCTTTTCTGTCTTCAGGGAAGTTTCTTGTTTTTTAATTTTCCTTTAATATGAAGTCAGCCAAACTGTTTTGAAAAGTTGGCATATTCTAGGAAATATGCTGGAAAAAGTAAAAATATAAAGAATCTGATTCAATTTAAATAGAATATTAAAATGGAAAGGACCCCAGAGATTGAGTGTTGTGTAATAGAAATATATTATGTGCCACATATATGATTTGACATTGTCTAGTGGCCAATTAAAAAGAAAAAAAGAGGCCAGGCACAGTGGCTCATGTCTGTAATGCCAGCCCTTTGGGAGGTCGAGGTGGACAGATCACGAGGTCAAGAGATTGAGACCATCCTGCCCAAGATGGTGAAACCTCGTCTCTACTAAATATACAAAAATTAGCTAGGTGTGGTGGTGGGCACCTGTAATCTCAGCTACTCAGGAGGCTAAGGCAGGAGAATCTCTTGAACTCAGGAGGCAGAGGTTTCAGTGAGCTGAGATCGTGCTACTGCACTTCAGCCTGGTGACAAAGCAAGACTCCATCTGAACAAAAAAGAAAAAAGAGAAATAGGTAAAGTTATTTTTAACAATATTGTAGGGAGGCCGAGGCGGGTGGATCACAAGGTCAAGAGATCGAGACCATCCTGGTCAACATGGTGAAACCCCATCTCTACTAAAAATACAAAAAATTAGCTGGGCATGGTGGCGCCTGCCTGTAATCCCAGCTACTCAGGAGGTTGAGGCAGAATTGCCTGAACCCAGGTGGCAGAGGTTGCGGTGAGCCGAGATTGCGCCATTGCACTCCAGCCTGGGTAACAAGAGCAAAACTCCGTCTCAAAAAAAAAAAAAAACAATATTGTATTTACACATTGTGCCCAAAATATTATAATTTCAATATGGAATCAATATAGAAACATTAATGAGATATTTCCGTCTTTTTTGTACTGAGACTTTGAAATCCATTGTGTAATTTATGCTTCCAGCATATCTCAGTGTGAACCAGCCACATTTCAAATGCTCAATAGCAGCATGGACATACAGGCTATCATATTAGGCAGTGATGACCTAGGTGATTGCCTGAGTTTTATAAGTGTAGAACATACATCAAGACAGGACAAATGACAGTCCCAGAGTGTCAGCCAGTCAGTGCCAGATCTCAACCCAGCATTCTGACTCTCAGTTCGGTGTTCTTGCAACTGTGTTAGAGAACAAGCGCAGTGGGCTTCGATGACATTGTACTAGGTACTTTATTATTACTACTTAAAGCAACCTTGCAGAAGCAAGAGTTTATCCTCATTTTCAGAACAAGATATCAAAGCTCAGAGATAATCAATTACCTCCTCAAGCTTAGATCTGAGACCAGTTTTGTCTGACTGCAAAGCCTGGGCTTTTTTTTTTTTTCCATGCATCCCAATGTCCTCTCTCCAATCTGAGACCCTTTAAGACCATGACTCCAAGTATGGTCTGAGGAGCAGCAGCATCTGTTCCCTCCAGGAGTTTGTGAGAAATGCAAAATCTTGAGTCCTACTTCAATACCTACAAGGCTGCGTTTATCAACATCCAAAGTATTCATATAAATGATTCATGTAAAATCTAAGACATCTCAACAAAATACAAATCTCTCTATAAATTAAAATAATTTCCTGGGAAAATGGATTCATACTCTATCAGACATATGGCAGATAATCAGAAATACCTTATGGATTGAATCACAACATGAGAAGAAACGAGTTAGCTTGGACATTTAAGGAAGGAGAAATAATAATAGAATATTTCATTAAAAATGAGTTTCCAGAACTAAATCTTGAAATTATAAAATGCTTTATCAACAGCCACAACACCTGCCTTCTTCCCTCTTAATCTCTTCCACTCTTCTTAAGTCATAGATACGTAAACTTTTGTTCCCACCAAATTTATTGAATGAGAAGGAAATGTTAATGTATCTAAGCGGAAGCGTGGCAACATTACCAGGAAAATGTGGTATAAGGGTATTTTTGCCATACAAAAAAGTCACGCATCGGCCAAAAATTGTCACTATGTGCAGTTCATGGCAGTCCATTCTTGAAATTAGGCTCCAGCTGAGATTTCTTTGGTGTTCCTAAAAGTAGCTCTCGCTAATGAGTCAAAGGCTGATTATTTATCCTGAGCCTCTTCGGTCACATTTTCAGTATTTTCCTCATGTGCCATGATGCCCTCAGCTCTTCCTTTCATTCAGTGGCAGGCAGTTAATTAAGCAGATGTTAATAAGTCTGGATGTTTTGGGAAGAAAATGAGTAGAAAATGAATGATGTGAGTAGCACAGGTCCTCCCCAAAAGGCTGAATCTGCAGAACCCTGTCCAGTGAGGTGTTTTTCCCTCTTTCCCATTTCTTAACTCAATGGGGCATTGCTGGCTATTTTTGTCCTTTAGAAAACAACAGCAATGTGATGTATAATAGCAGGGCTTCTAACCAATATTTCATTGTGTCACACAGGGACCGCGCAAGCTGTGTGTTAAGGAGATGAACAGTGGCATGGGGAAAAAACAGGCCTGGCTTATAAAGAACAAAATCAAGGCTTTTTATGCTGCAGTGGCGGCAGACTGTTTCAGGGATGGCGTCCGAAGTCTCCTTCAGGTAAGGCTGCATTGAGGGATGGAGCACAGAGGCAAAAGACAATTAGTGCTCCATGTTAATGAGGCTCCCAAAGTGAACGGCTGCAGGAAGGCAGCTCAGCATCGGAGACCAGTGCAGATGGTTAAGGAATTATTTTGAATTCCTGAGTAGAGGCAAAACTAGAACAAAAGCAGAGAAGTTCTATTACAATAAACTATGAATGATACGCTGGAAATGGAAAATGAGGTTGCCTTTGGCCACCAGCATACATTCTGCCCCCGTACTTATTGAAATGCAAATTTGTTCCAATGGTTGACGACATTCAGGATCCTATTGAAACTTCAAACTATTTTTATATCTCATACTGCATATAGCAATGCTCAAGTCAGGCATTCTTTTCCTTTTTTCTTTTGCAAATGGTGTTAGGGCAGCTGCTAGACCAACTAAATTAATGCATGGTGATCTGGGCATAAAATCTCCCTATCCTTCTGAATTATTTCCAGAATGTTGAATAAAATGTAATAATCTCTGCAGCTCAACCTTAAATCCCACAGTTCTCCCATCTTTTCTCTTTTATTTTTCTTTCTTTTTTCCTTCCTTTATCTCTTCTATAGTAAGTACATAAAATCTTTTTCGCAGTTCTGATCTTCACAATTTAGAATGACAGAGAATCTTTAAAACATTCCAAGAGATTCTCAGAAATTGTAGAGCTTGGCTTGATAAGCATTTTGGCTTTAATATGGTTGAAAAACCTTAATTATATGTATAGGAAATGGTGCATTTGGCTTTCAGAGTTACTGTATCTCAGAGTGTCAGAAGTCAGGACTGCATCCAGGTAATTCAGATGCACATGCAGGCAGGAAAGAAAAAATATTGCTTAAGCTTAATTGGTAATATTTTGAAGCTTAAGAGTATTTGATGCATTCCTGTGTCTGATTTCCCTTAAGAATACTTGTGAAGTAGCTGCACATGCAGAGAAACCATTTCTGCAAAACCTATTACCCACAATGAGCCACTTTTCATTTGTTATTAATTTGCTAAACCGTGGAAACAGGTATTATTGCAAGATGCTGATTTTTCTTTCAGTACCAAGGTTGTTTTTTTGTTGTTGTTGTTGTGGTTTTTGTTTTTTGAGATGGAGTCTCAGTCTGTCACCAGGCTGGAGTGCAGTGGCATGATCTCAGCTCATTGCAATCTCCGCCTCCCGGGTTCAAGCAATTCTCCTGCCTCAGCCTCCCCACTAGCTGGGACTACAGGCCTGGGCCACCACACCGAGCTAATTTTTGTATTTTTAGTAGAGACGGGTTTTCACCTTCTTGGCCAGGATGGTCTTGATCTCTTGATCTCATGATCCACCCACCTCAGCCTCTCAAAGTGCTGGGATTACAGGCGTGAGCCACCACACCCAGCCCCAAGTTAGTTTTCAATAGCTCTTTGGTTAAATACATTGGCACTGTTAGTCATTTATTATAAAATTATGATAGAAGCTTTGTAAAATAAAATTTTCAACTAGGAATGGGAATACAGACATAAAATAAGAGCAGAGAAAGAAAAGACACAGGTATGAAAGAGAATTCTTAGGTTAATCCAGAAGAAATGGTAGAGAAAATTCTAACATGCATATGTTCACATAAATTTCCTTACCTAAAAAGTGAAGTACAGAGGAGCTGTGGCAAAAGAATAAGACAAAGTGATATGAAAGGAAGCACTGCAGTTACATCATCTCGAGTAAAATCATCTTTGCTTCTTAGAAGTTATGGTACAAATTACCAAATAGTCAGAGTGTCGCCATGGAAAAGACTACATCCATCCATACTGCCACACATCTGCCAAGGGCCAAATAAGGACTCCAGGAAGGTGCTGGGCCAAGAACAATACACCAAATGTATTGGAGGCAAAGTTTATTTCAGGATGCCTCTTTCATTGCCTATCTCCTTCCACCTGCTACTGTTCCCTCTAAAATGTCCAGCTCTGGCCCTTCTTTCACTCTTCCCATGACCCAGAACTACCTTCCATTACTCCCACTGCTCTTCCCCATATTTTTTTTTTTTTTTTTTTTTTTTGAGGTGGAGTCTCGCTCTGCAGCCCAGGCTGGAGTTCAATGGCATGACCTTGGCTCACTGCAAACTCCTCCTCCCAGGTTCAAGCGATTCTCCTGCTTCCGCTTCCGGACCAGCTGGGATCACAGGCACGCAGTACCATGCCCGGCTAATTTTTTGTATTTTTAGTAGAGATGGGGTTTCACCATGTTAACCAGGCTTGTCTCAAACTCGTGAGTTCAAGTGATCCACTCACCTTGGCCTCCCAAAGTGCTGAGATTACAGGTGTGAGCCACTGCGCCCGGCTGCTCTCCCGTTTTAACCTGCCAACGTCTCACCAACTTCCAAGACTCAGTTGAAATACTGCCTCTCCCATGAAGCTGGCCATGAATCCTCACCTAAAATTCAAGTTTTCTTCCTTTGTTCTTCTATATGAGTTTCTATTACATGTGCATGTATATTAGCATCATTTGTGTAAATATTGTCTTCTTCACCATGTTTGGTTCCATAAGGCCAAAGAATGTGCTTCACCACTCTCCCACCAAACCTAACAGAGTACTATGCAAGTCATTGGTGCTTAGTAATATTGCTGAATTAAATTTGATTAACTGGAAGCTATAAGCTATCATCTAATGAAGGGAGACAACACTTGTGATATGGAATATGGCTATTAATGATACTGTCATATAAGAGAATTAGGTTTTGGAAACATAATTCAGTCACTCTTCAGTAAATAACGTAAGTAGAGATTTCACTGATCCTTGTACATAAGAATTTCCAAACATGGATTTTATTGCTAATGACATTATAGGTATAACAGGTGGGAATGAGCTTTGAACCACTAAGTTACAACATGCATGCCAACAGTTAAGCTGACCCGCACTTGATTTTAAATTATTGAACCATTTTAATGAGTGTGTCAAAAGAAATGCAAATGACTGCTAATTTAGAAAAGCTACATTTCTGTCATCTAAAATCCATTTATAGCTGAGATGATTTAGAATTAATCTTTCCATTTTATGCTTGGGTACGGGCATGAAGGACATGCACTAAAATGTAATCTAATCTTCAGAATCTTCAGAACATTACTTCAGAGCTCCTTTAGACATTATTTTTCATTTGCACTCGTAGCTTTCCAGTGCAGTAAGGGTTGCCCATGTTTTTATGTCCTCTGTTTAGGCCTCAGGCTTAGGAAGAATGAAACCAAACACTCTGGTGATTGGATATAAGAAAAACTGGAGGAAAGCTCCCTTGACAGAGATTGAGAACTACGTGGGAATCATACAGTAAGTGATGGCTTTCAAGACGTGTTCGTGTTTATAAAGCACTAACCGGGGCAGTACATAACTTGTACTGCACCTAACACTGTTGTGTCAGATTAAATTGCCTGAGAAGAGCACATTCTCCTGGTACTCTGACTTCTTTCCAAGGTGAAAAAAACACCACCAATAATACAGCTTGAGGGAATCAGAGTGTCAGAGGAGGCAGGGTGGGAGAAATACCAGTGTCAGAGAAAAAGGTAAATGTTTAGAGTTACAACCTTAAAATCTATTTACAAGATTAAAAGCAAAGCACAGCTAAGCAAAGAGAAATTTTTCTTTCAGAACACCTGGAATCTTGGGTTGGCTGGTGTCTCTGCAGTTCGGTCCTTGTCTTCTTCTGAGCCTCTGATAATTCATTCACTACCCAGAGCCCTATATCTCCGTCTGCTAAGAGGCTCCCATACGCCAAGTGCTTCTGCTGTCAGGTAGAGTAGGATTGGCTTGTGCCCAGAATGTGAGTTTCAGATGGTACATAACATCTGACAGCTAAATATTTGAGGAGGCTTAGGATATAGGTAATAATGATAGATCTTAAAGAACTAGCAGGCAGCAGGCTAATGTCTTAAACATGAATTATCTCATTTAATTCACATAAGATTTTGAAGGAAATACTATTTTTTTTTCCATTCTTCAAGTGGAGACATAGATGTTAAAAATTAAGTAGTGTGCATTTAGTGACAGAGCTAGAATTCCAAACCAGGACTATCCCAAATCAGAGTTGAAACTCATGACTGTAATGCTGTGCTTTCTGTATATATTATATACTCCGAAACAAGCATTATATATTATATACTATATATTCCAAAGTGTTATATATTATATACTCCAAAACAAGTATTATATATTATATACTATATATTATATATTGCAGAGTATTATATATTATATACTCCAAAGTGTTATATATTACATACTCCAAGTATATAATATATATTTGGAATATATATATAAAATATGTATTTCAAAACCCTGTGTGTATGCGTGTGTGTGTGTGTGTGTGTGTATACACATATATATATACACACACACATATATATGTATATACTTGGAGTATATAATGTGTAATACTTGGAATAGATATGTATGTATATACATACATATGAATATATATGTATATACGTATATACGTGTGTGTGTATTACATACATATATACATGTATATACGTAATACTTGGAGTAATGTATATATGTATATACATTGCCAGTATATATGTATATACATATATACTCCAAGTATTACCTGGCTTGGTTCCTTCCTTTGGATAAGAGAAAACAAATTCTACACCTGCAGAGAGAAACATTGCAGAAAGTTGAGATTTTCGGCCTGGCATGGTGGCTCATGCCTGTAATCCTAGCATTTTGGGAGGCCAAGGCAGGTGGATCACATGAGGTCAAGAGTTCAAGACCAGCCTGGCGAAACCCCATCTCTACTAAAAATACAAAAATTAGCTGGGCATGGTGGTGGGCACCTGTAATCCCAACTACTCGGGAGGCTGAGGCAGGAGAATCTCTTGAACCTGGGAGGTGAAGGTTGCAGTGAGCAGAAACCATGCCACAGCACTCCAGCCTGAGGGACAACAGGGGAACTCCATCTCAAAAAAAAAAAAAAGAAAAGCAAAGAAAGTTGAGCATTTCTTCTAGGCTTGAAAATACTTAATCAGACTCCAGAGGGGCAATGTTAGCTATGCCCAAAAGCCATCTTTTGTGTCAACATCTCTGGAAACAGAAGATTTCCTGTGCCTGGGATCTGGCTGTGGTTTGATTCAGATCACAGGGTATGTGGCATTGCCCTGAGAGATACAGCTGCACTTAAAAGTCCATCCTAGCCACGTAAAACAAGTATTTGCTTAGCCCTTCTTATAGCATGCTATTTCCGCTACCCCTTGTTATTATAAGCATAACATTTACCATTATATTGAGCAGATTTATGCAACATACTAACAAAAGCATTCTTAGTTTTATTAAAAGGAAGCATAAGAAAATAACTTTCATCTTCTGAAAGTACAGGAATTCCTGAACAAACAAAAATTCACCAACAGTCTTCCTAATGTAAGGAATGTGTATATTAAGTGCATTGTGCTTCTCAAAACATATACAGCTTGGGTACCACGTGCTGTCATGTGGCTCCTGCTGGTGTTGTAAGTTCAATATGTTAAGACTAAACCAGGTGATCAAGATTAGAATTTTTCCAGGCTCAGCAAACAGTATTTTGATGTATTTAGAATCATAGTCGGTTGCTGATCAGACATTCTTGGAAATTAACCAGATCTGTCCTCTGTTAATCCAGATTCTTCAGTAAAATTTCTCTCCGACTTGGGGAACAAAAGGAATGGAGAGGAGAAAAAAGAACACATAGGAAGAAATGTGTCAATTTACAATGAAATAATCCATAATTTGATACAGAATTACCTGGGACTGTCTTCCAACCTCCCTGCCATCCCAAACATTCTAGAAATGCAAAGGGAGCAAAATAATCAAACCCAGTAATACTGAACCAAGAAGGCCTTTGGCTTTTCCAACAGATTAGTAATTGGTCTCCTTGGTAATAAAGTGCAGTGTTAGGGTGGCCCAGATTTGTACTAGTATAAAACCTAGTTGTATTGGTAAAGTTAAATGACTTTACTAGCACAACACTGGGGCTAATAATGACAATCATGTATCCATATTACATTTCCCTTTCCAATTTTTGTGTCTTTATGACTTAAAGCACAGTAGTATTGTTAACACAGGGGTCTTATTATACGATTACAGGTATTTTACCATTTTTCTTTGAATAAAAGATTTTAAATTTCTGTAATATTCTTAAATACGGTTAATTAATTTATTTTTTTTAAGATGAAGTCTCACTCTGTTGCCCAGACTGGAGTGCAGTGACATGATCTTGGCTCACTGCACCCTCCACTTCCCAGGTTCAAGTGACTCCCCTGCCTCAGCCTCCCAAGTAGCTGGGACTACAGGCACACACCACCACATCCAGCTAATTTTTATATTTTTTAGTAGAGGTAGGGTTTTGCCACGTTGGCCAGGTTAGCCTTGAACTCCTGACCTCAGATGATCTGCCTGCCTTGGACTCCCAGAGTACTGGGATTACAGGCGTGAGCCACCTCACCCAGCCACGTATAGTTTAATTTTAATTAGAATCTGTATTTATTAGTTTTCAATGACTGCCATAACAAATTACCTCAAATTTAATGGCTTAAAATAGTACTTTAGGCCAGGCATAGTGGCTCACACCTGTAATCACAACACTTTGGGAGGCCGAGGTGGGCAGATCACTTGAGGTCACAAGTTTGAGACAAACCTGGTCAACATGATGAAACCCCACGTTTACTGAAGATACAAAAAAAATATCCAGGCATGGTGATGCATGCCTATAATTCCAACCTCTTGAACCTGGGAGGCAGAGGTTGCAGTGAGCCAAGATCACACCACTGCACTCCAGCCTGGGTGACAGTGCCAGACTTTGTCTTTAAGAAACAAACAAACAATACTTGATTATCTTACAGTTCTGTAGGTTAGAAGTCTGGCATGTGTGAGCCAGGCTGCATTCCCTTCTGGAGGCTCTAGGATACATTTCTGACCTTGCCTTTTCCAGCTTCCCGAAGCTTCCCTCATGTGGGTATGGCTCAGGAATGCCTTCCTCAATCTTCAAAGCCAGCAATGGCTGGTCAAGTTCCTCTCACATCACATTACTGTGACCTCCTCTTACACCTCGTCATTTTAAGTACCCTTGTGATTACTCTTGTCCCATCCAGGTAATCTAGGATAATCTCCCCATCCCACAGTTCTTAACATAATCATATGTGCCAAGTCCTTTTTGCCGTGTAGGGAAATACATTCACAGTTTCCAGGTATTAGGACACTTTGAGAGTACATTATTCTGCCTCACACAGAATCAAAACTTTGTTCTGGTGGAGCATATCGTTTACTTTTTATAATCAAAAACAATCAGAAACAAGATTTGTTTATGAGGAATTTACTTTGTGATAGCTTGTGCCAGAATGGAACTATTCTGTTAAGTAAGGATTATTTATGGTTTAGATTTTGAGTGGATATTCATATTGCACCAAGCTTACGTATACCAAATGAAAATTCAGGTTTACTGTGGCCATTGGCAACTGTTTACATATGGTGGGACAGTTGTTCCCGGGGTAGGATGACCTAATGATAAGGACTCGTAAGTTTTAAATCCATACAACTACAAAGGACCCCCCAGTGAAAAAACTTTAAATGGCTCAAACTATTAACTGGCTTGCTTCCATTTTTAGGACCAGAGAAAACATTTATCTCTTCAAGTTTTATCTCTTCAAACAGAGATCAAAGAAAGACAGACTTTATTTCTCTGTTAGATAACTTGATTTGTTTGGGTTGAATACAGAGAAAGCACAAGAGCCAGTATACAGGGTTGCCGTGAAACAGCATTGCTTCAAATGGCGAGTTTAGAGTCAGTTTTGAAAATTCTTTAGTGGAACTGGAGATATTTCTAACCATGAACTTGAAATCAGAAATGTGATAGGAGTCCTTCTGGGAGGCAGCCAGGTTAGGGGGTGGTGGCTAATCATTTTAAAGACTGTTTGCTGTCTGTAAACTCTCTGGTCTAAATATACCAGTGATTGTTTTGCTCACTATACAAAAGATTTGATTATTTTTAAAAGATGTGACAAGCTCCTAATCAAAATTCTGATTTAGAGTATTATTTGAACAAATTGGCTAGAGTGAATGATTTAGTTACCTCCACCCAAAATATACTTTAAAAAGGCATAAGGGAAGAACAAACAAACAAAAGAAATGCATCAGCTCTTGGCTATATTCTAAAGTGGATTTTAATAGTTTTATTATATCAAAATCCTAGAAGTAAGTGATCCTAGACTAATACTAGTCTAACACTTTAGGATAAAGGAGCCATTTAAAACACTAACTGCTCTGCTTCCTCTTTCAGTGATGCATTTGATTTTGAGATTGGCATGGTTATCGTCAGAATCAGCCAAGGATTTGACATCTCTCAGGTTCTTCAGGTGCAAGGTATGTACTTTCTTTATTCAACTAACAAGCATTAATTGAGCACCTACTCTGTGCCTGAAATCATTCTTGGATAGAGCGGGGAGAGTATAGACAAAACTCCTTGACAGTGGAGCTTACATTCTAACACTAACTCACAGTACATATAGTTCCCCCAATATTTTCTCCAATGTAGCCTTTGCCCTGCTAACCAGAAATGCAGAGGAATTCAAAGTAGTCATCAATTATTTTTCTTATCACAAAACCACAAAGCCAGCATCAGTGAAAATAAACACCTTCGGTAAAATAACCTGCCAAATTAATTTCTGCAAGATGTTTCAGAAAATGAAGATTAATTCTTTCCTCAGAAAAACACGCATTTTGCTTTTGATAGTCTATGAACTGGTTTGTAGCTAACATGGAAATGAGCCTGAATGTATCATACTGTGAATCACTAATTTAAGTCAGAGGCAGAAACGCTAATTCAGATTAGTGACTCTTTATTTTTTCCCTGTAGAGAATTTGGTATACTTGCTTAGTCTTAGAATTTAAACATACGCTCTTGTGTATGAAATAAAGAATGTATTTATATACTTACTGAAAAATTAGCACAAGACATGAATCCATGACTTACCTCTTCTGCTGAACTTCACAAGAGTCTACTTACAACACAACATTAAGAAAAACTGATGGTTTTCTGGTGCCTGTCATGTACCAGGCATAGTGTAGGTACAAGTTGTGCTGGGTAGACTGAGATTAATAAATTCTGTCTGTACCCTCAATAGCAGGCGTCCCCAAACTACGGCCCGCGGGCCGCATGCGGCCCCCTGAGGCCATTTACCCAGCCCCCTGCCATACTTCAGGAAGGGGCACCTCTTTCATTGGTGGTCAGTGAGAGGAGCACAGTATGTGGCGGCCCTCCAACGGTCTGAGGGACAGTGAACTGGCCCCCTGTGTAAACAGTCTGGGGACGCCTGCTCAAGAGACACACAGCCTAGTAAGGAAAGTAGATCGATTATTAGCATTATAATAGATATGAATAAGGAATTATGGGAAAGAAAGAAGAGGCAGCTAACTCCAGAAAGGCTTTCTGGAGAAAATTACCTTTGATTTGAGATTTATTGGATGAGTAGGCATTAACCAAAGTTAAGGGAGAGAAAAGTAAGGAAGACAGCTTGGAGAATGCACTCCTGACAAAGAGGAAAGCATTTGCAAAGGTGAAGACTTGGGAAGAGAGAGGAATGGAATATACAGACAACCAAAAGCAGATTCATGTTGCTCAAGTGAAAAGCAGGAAGCCGACAATAGTCAAACATGAGGTTGCCACTCTAAGGAGGATCCAGACTGTAAAAGCCTCATTTGCCATATTAAAAAGATGGCTCACATTCTGCAGATAACGAGGAGCCATTAGAGAGATTCAAGTGAGAGAATAATGTGGTCAAACTTGGGTTTTAGATCTCATGCTCTTTCTATGGGGCATGGACTCAGGACTAGAATGGAAATAGACAGATCAAAGAGTTCTGCAATAATCAAACAAGAGAAGGTGGCAGCTTGAACTAGGGCAGCCTCAGTAGGGATGGAGAGAAAAGAGCAGAATTGAAAAGTATTTCGCAGGCTTGAGGAGCAGTGTTTGGGAGTTGACTGGATATGTGGGATATGGGAAAAAGAGGAGTAAAGAAAAACTCCTTAGCTGACTGGCTGAGCCAATGGAAATGGGAAATGCAAGAGAAAGTATAGGTTTAATGAGGAGATGCTGGGGTCAATTTCAAACAATCTTCTGTAGGAAATCCTATGGGAAATGTCTAATAGGCAGTTAGCCCTCATCGTAAAGGAGAAATCTGAGCTGGGAATACAGGTTTAGGAGATGTTGTGGACTGAACTATGTCTCCTCACCAAATTCCTATGTTGAAATCCTTTCCCCCAGTACTTTGGAATGTGACTGTATTTGGAGGCAGGATCTTTAAAGAGGTCATTAAGGTTAAATGAGGTTCTTTGGGTGGGCCCTACTCCCGTATCACTGGATGTCCTTATAAGAAGAGGAGATTAGCGTATAGACTGAGGGGTGATGGTGTGAAGACATGATGAGAAGGCAGCTGTCTTCAAGCCAAGAAAAGAGGCCCCAGAATAAAATCAATCCAGCTGATGCCTTAATCTTGGACTTTTGGTCTCTAGAATTGTAAGGAAATAAATGCATATTGTTTAAGACGTCCTGTATTAAACAGCCTGGGTAGACTAATACAGGAGACACCATGGTTAATGTGGATTGAAACCATCACCCTGGAAAATACAACTCAAAGAGTGTGTGTAGCCGAGGACTCCAAAGTGTAGGGAAAAGGCCCCGAAGAAGAGGAGGAGAGGTCAGAAAGGTGAAGAAATTGGAAGTCTGGGCTCAGGGAAACCATGGGAGAACAGGACTCAAAATGGGGAGAATAAGCAACATTGCCAAATGCAGCAGAAAAGTACAGTGAGATCATGAATCAAATGGAATTGGCACGACACAGATAATCTTAGAGCAATTTCTGCAAAGCATGATTATCAGAATCAAGACTGCCATGGTTTGAGGAGAGACTATGAGATGAACAGGCAGAGAATATGGATGCAGCCAACCCTTCTGAGAAGTACGGATGGTAACGAGAGGAGTGAGATTCAGCAGGCTTTCTGCGGGGGACCTATAGACCTTCGAATGGGAGATCAAATCATGTTTCCAGACAGTGGAAATGGCACCAGAGTGTGCAAAAAAATGAAGAGGTAGACAAAGAAAGGGGTGACTCCTGTAGTAAGATCCAGGAGGAACAGAAAACTGAGGGAAAGCCGTGGCTGAAAGAGTCAGCCTGAAACAGAAGAACACTTTATCTAAAATTGGAGCAAAGGAGGGGAGGATTGATGATGGGATATGTGGATTTGTGAGAGTAGAGTAGTCAGTTGAAGACGATACACAATAGTCTCAATTCTTCCTTTTAAGCTGGAGCAATGGTTTAATTCTTAAAGCGAGAGACATGGTTTAACTGAGAATGAGAAGAAATTAGTAAGCATTTTTAAAAGTCATGATGGAGAATGAAAGAGATCAGCAAGAACAGATCAGTGTGCAACAGTGAAAACCCAGCTGTGGTTGTCCAGTTTTCCCCGGCAGCATGAAGTCTTCAAGGCACAGGAGCAGCATCAGGGCATTTCTGGGTAGGTTTAGCAGACAGAAAAAAAGGATTTTTAAGGGCTATTGCCTGATCGATTCATATTCTATTTGCTGGTTCATGATTGTCTCCATCAAAACAGGAAAGAATATGAGTGGATTAGGTGAATTTTTCTGATGCAGCCATTCCGGTATGTTGCAGGAGAACAGGAGGACAAAGAAAAAAGCTAGAGATCAAGTGTTTCTGTAAGACGGAGAGCTACTATCTGACTATGTGTACTCTATGACAATGAAGAGCGTGTAAAAATGAAACTGTGAGGAGAATGCATCCCATGCAAAATTGTAGCGTAAGAGGTTATCTCTTGGTGTCTTTAGCCTTCATTTTTATGCCCCTTTTCTTTTTTATGGACATTCTTTTCGTTTTGTTTTGTTTTGTTTTTGAGACGGAGTTTCGCTCTTGTTACCCATGCTGGAGTGCAATGGCGCGATCTCGGCTCATCGCAACCTCCGCCTCCTGGGTTCAGGCAATTCTCCTGCCTCAGCCTCCTGAGTAGCTGGGATTACAGGCACGCGCCACCATGCCCAGCTAATTTTTTGTATTTTTTTTTTTTCAGTGGAGATGGGGTTTCACCATGTTGACCAGGATGGTCTCGATCTCTTGACCTCGTGATCCACCCGCCTCGGCCTCCCAAAGTGCTGGGATTACAGGCTTAAGCCACTGCGCCCGGCCTTTTTTATGGACATTCTAAATCTCCAGATCAGAAATACTAACTCCCACTCAGTGAGTGTTTACTATTAATGTATATCCCCTCCTAATAGAACTTAATACATTAGTAGCAACAATTGTTAAAATATTTGAGCACCTCTTCTGTGCCATTATGCTTCATGTTTATATATAACATTTATCATCCCAGCTACCCTATGAGGAGAGTATTATCATTGTCCCCATTTTTCAGCTGGCAAAATGGAGACTTAACCCAAGATTTACAAGGCTAGTCATTAGTAGAGCTGGGATTCAAACCTGTATCTGTTTGAAGCCCCTATTTTATCTCTTAAAAAGAAGAGCTAGAGAAGATGATGACATATAGCAAGAGGCAATGGTGAAATCTGAGCTCTGGTAATGAGGCAAAGCTATGTGTTCCTTAAAACACACAACAAGGGGACTGCCTGTCTATGGTAAGAGGACAGCCCCCTTGTTGAGGGCAATTACAAGAACTGAATATTAAGAGAACTGTTCTGTTGCGAACTTCCTAGGTTTTACTTTAATTTTTTTTCCTGGCTTTTGTGCTTTAATGTTTTCCATCCACAAATGAAAATGCAAAACATAACTTGTATTTACATTACACATTAGCTTTGTGTGTTATGTTGATCTCTTCAAGTCGAAAGATGTGATGTAGCTGAAAAGCATTGCTCCCACCCATTGTTCCATCTGCCAAGACGCGTCCTCGATTTACTTCTAGTAAAGCAGTACAGCAACCAAGTTATACAGTATTTCTCAAAGAATCCTGGCAGCGAACTGCATCCCCTTTTAATTTCCCAAGGGTTGTATCCTATTTAAATAAACTTTGATGTTTGAAATATTTCTGCTTCTTAGTCAAGAAAGGGAAAATACAGTTGGATGCTAATAAAATAATTACAAGTACCAACTATCTAGGGTAAACAAAGAAAAACAATGTTACACACGTACAGGAAGAACATGCAGAAAAACAACATAATGATAGAAATTAACTTTCAGCCACACTTCCATGCATTGTTTTGAGGTTTATGTAATTTATGACACAAACCTCTTATTAGATTTTGAATTGGAAGAAATAAACTTGCATTTCATTATATTATGCTGTAATTCATGGCCTAATAAGGGCCTGATAAATCTTAAGTACTGCATTATACTATGTTA